GGCATTGTGCTCCTCGATGGCCGTGATGAGGCCGTCTACAACGGATCCGTCATGGAGGAATGGGCCCTCAAGCCCGGCCACATTCCCTCGGCTCTCAACCTGCCCGGCAAGAACTTTTGGAACGAGGACGGCAGCTGGAAGAGCAGCCTCGAGATCCTGGTCCAGCTCAGAAGCGTCGTCGGCTACAGCGTCGGACGCACCTACGGCCAGATCATTGTCTACTGCGGTGTCGGTGGCTATGCCTCTACCTTGTACTTCACCCTGACCAGAATCCTCGGCTTCGACAACGTCGTCATGTACGATGGCAGTGCCCAAGAGTGGAGCAAGTACTACGATATGGAGTTGTAAACACTTGACTGCAAGATTCATCATGTGCATGGATTCGGTGTAATTATTCTTCATATAGTTTCAACTTTGAAGCTCTTGTTCTTGATATTGTTCATTCTTTTTTCTGATGATTTCATCTATTCATCATGAGCTGTTGGATTATAATCCTTCTTCTAAATTATAACGATATCAGTTATATCTAGTCATCTCTTTATCAGCTTCCGCTAGCAGGTAAAAGTGAATATTAGTTGTGATCATTCTGACCATGTCCTCAAGAAGAACAAGGAACCGTTGGTCAGTTCGCATATGCCAAATGATAAGGAGAAAAAATGAGAGGCAATGAGACGTAAAGTGACAGAATCCGGTCGCTCTCTTGGTATTGTGACGAACCAAAATGCCGTCAACCTTGGGCGCGGGTTTCCTCAAACCATTGGATGTGCTGTCGGCACACACTATCATGTGGTGTGGACGAGTCCTTCAGGGGACACAGAGTCCCATTGGGCCGCTTAAAACCTCCGCAGTTGCTATTCACTGACAAGTAAATACCCTAACCACACTCACTTCTAGTGTATGCAAGGAACACTGAACCGACCCTGCCGTCCTCGCACTAATGCCCCGGTCTTGGTGAACAATATGCCGGTCAAGTGCTCAGAGTCCTAGGGACAGTGAACTCTTGTGGTCTCCAGGCAGCCGACTGGATCGATCGTACGCGTCCCTCGCTGCGCCGTCGACCTGCGTCTGGTTTCATTGTCTCGGCGCATCTGAAGTTTTCACGGCAGATGGTCTTAGGTAAGACAAACCCTGATCCCGAAAGCCTGGGATGTGCTTCTTTCCCCGGAATCCTTCCCGAAGCTCATCATCATTCATCAAAAAATAACAATCAGGTGTTGAACATCTCAGGCTTTTGATGCACCCTACCAGGGACTACTGCAAAGACCAAATATGGGCCAGGAATAGCTTGTGCAACCACCCCTAGCGGGGCTTTATTGATACCAAGAGTTCTTCCGAGCCTGCAGGTAGGGTGGTAGAGTTTGTAATCACTTTGGCTTCAACTGGTCAAGACCGCATTGTCCACCTGCTTGGCTCCCTGCTGGGCAGGGTCATTTGCAGATGACGAACCCAGGCCTCTTTGTCGATGAAATAAAGAAATTGGCAATTGGAACCGGAACTGATCCAATGTTTTCGTTTGGCTTCTCGATGAGTATGGAATCATTCGGACTTTAAATCTACATACTGTCCTCGGGATGTGCCGCAGGCGGCAGGATGCTCGGAAGGCGCAGTAAGCTGACTTCATAACTAAAAAGTCCGAATATGTTCGCAACAGTCGGCACATAAAGGCCAAGGAGGTAACCCGTACAAGAAGAGTGACAACGTAGCCAAGATTCCAAGTTCCAATATCCCACCCAACCTGGAATCGTTTACCAAGGGGATGCGGTCCGCAGAGTCACGTAGTCACGCGCTATAAATCCTTCAATACGACGCTTGATGACAGAAGCTGGGCATATGTAGACGATGCTGAAATGCGGAAAGGAGCTCGTGTAACCGATTTGAGTATAAATACGAGGTTCGGGAGCTGCCCATGGCTTACAAGGAGCAGTCACATTTGTCATCTAGCAAGTTTTGTTTCCTCCTTGCAGTCTGAGTCTCAACCATCAACATGGCAGGCTTCTTCAAGTTTCTCCTGGCCAGCTCGGCTTTTGTGCCGGCTCTCAGTACCTTGCTACCAGAAAGCATTGCAACCAGCGTGATCAACAAGGACGTGGCCATTATCGGCGGGGGTGCCAGTGGCTCCTATGCTGCTATCCGACTCAAGGAAGACTACGGCAAGAGCATTGTCCTCATCGAGAAGGAAGAGGCACTGGTAAGCATCATCACCTGTCGCAGAGATGCAAACTGTTTTAGGCCAAATTACTGACAAAGTGCCAGGGAGGTCATGTTAATACTTATACCGATCCTGACACGGGCTTACCCGTCGACTTTGGTGTCAATGTCTTCAACGATTGGGGCCCCGCCCGTGCCTTCTTTGAGCGCATGAACGTATCCGTTGGTGCACCCGTCCGGCCGGTCTTGACGTCGCGGTACATGGATTTCAAGACGGGTCTTTCTGTTCCATATACGCCAGCCTCGTTCGCCGACATTATTCCAGCCTTTAACCGATTCTACGCTGCCGTGGCTCCGTATGAGCACATGATCTTGCCGGGATACTTCAACTTCCCACCTCCCAACCAGATCCCGGCTGACCTGCTTATCCCTTTTGGCGAGTTCATCAAGAAGCACCAGCTCGAGGTAGCTGTGAACCTCATCTTTGAGAGCACTGGGCTGGGGGTCGGTGATTTGGTCAACACGCTTACCATCTGGGTCTTGGCCACCTTCAACACGCCCATGATCGGCGCTTTCATCGGACTCTATGGCCAGCTTACGCCCACGTCTGGCCGCAACATTGAGCTTTACGAGGCCGTGGCAGCCCGTCTTGGATCCGACGTACGTTATCGGTCCACCGTCATCCAGACCACTCGCTCGGCCACAGGAAAGGTCACCCTCTGGGTCAAGAACCACGCCACCAACACCATTACTCTCGTCAAGGCCAAGAAGCTCCTACTGGCCATCCCACCCACACCGTCCAACCTCGTCCCTTTCAGCCCCGACCTCCAGGAGCTGGGTGTCTTGTCCAAGTTTGAGTACTCGACCATCCATGCCGGCTTGGTCACTCACCCATCGCTGCCGATCCAGCATTCCCTTGTCAACATTCCTGGAAGCGCCATCTTGCCCAATGGCTCCACCGACTACACCGCCCTTCCCAAGCCACCGCTCTTCAACGTGCGCTACGACTCCATCGGCGGCAACTCGACCCTTTTCCGCGTCTTGATGGTAGGACATCACGGCACATCCACGGCTGCGGCTCAGAACCACGTAAAGGCCGACCTGAACAGGTTGATCGCCCAGGGAACTCTGCCTGCTACTCCTGGAGCAGGTAACCTGCAGGTCGAGGCGTGGGCAAACCACGGACCAATGCACGCGAGGGTGTCCAAGCGGGAGCTTCAGCGCGGATTTATGCAGAAGTTGTATGCCCTGCAGGGGCGGCGGTCAACCTGGTGGACTGGGGGGGCCTTCTCGGTCAATTTCCAAGCTGTTTTGTGGGCATTTGACGATGAGCTCCTCCCGAGGCTTGTAGCCAGCTTGTAGAAGAAGAGGGAAAAAAAAGAACCCGACGTATTCGAGTTGGAATCAGATAAGCATAGAATGAATGGTACCTTGATAGAAGCTCTAGTCACGCACTCGTGGGGCATTCCTCTCCTATCTTGTGCCTGGCCTTGTTACACGATTACATCATAGCTATCCAAGTCCACCTTCTCCTCCTTAACTCCGGCTAGATCCGAGATCCGGGTCTAACGTTCCAATCCCAACTTCTGAGCTTCTCACGTCTCATTTGCAGGCGTCTGCAAATGTGGTCAAACAAATACATAGGGATTGACTGTCAACATGTCTTCCAAAACAAACTACACCCAGGGCTATTCCCAAGCCACACAGGCAACTCACGCCTCCCGAACCGTCGATTCTGATGCATCCTTTCTTGTGCCGCATATCAGACCGACTCATCACATCCTCGATGTCGGCTGTGGTCCGGGTACCATAACCGTTGGATTCGCCGGCCTCATCTCGTCCCAAGGCTCCGTGACCGGTGTCGATATTTCCGAGACGGTCCTTGAAAAGGCCAAACAAGCTGTCGCATCAAGCTCCATCGTCACAGAAGGGAAACAAGTGACCTTCCTCCAAGCAGACCTTCTCTCCCACGATGGCCTCCCCTTCAAAGATGCTACCTTTGATGTGGTCTTCAGCTCCCAGCTCTTTCCCCATCTAAGCACCCACGACATGCGAATCCAGGCCCTGGCCGAGATGCGACGAGTCCTCAAGCCAGGCGGCATTCTCGCCACGAGAGATGCCGCCCATCTGCATTTCTACCCCCAACCGCCCGCCGTCCCAGCCAGGTATGACCTCAACCAACTGTGGGCCGGCAACATGCTCAGATCGCTTGGCACTCGGCATCTACCCGGCGGCGACATGCCATGTTTATTTTACCAAGTCGGATTCAATGTAGACAAGGTCAAAATCGGGGCGGGAACAACAGCGTACACGGACGAGAAGGCCCGAAGGTGGTTCGCCGAAGCTTCCAAGGCACGGCTGGAACAGGGCGAGACTTTTAGGCAGAGCTGGCTTGAAGTCGGCATTACAGATCAGGAAATCGAGGATACGAAAGTGGCATTGGATATATGGGCGGCTCTGGACGGGGCGTGGTATGTTGCTGTCCAGGCTGACATTTTGGGGTGGAAGTGATCATTTCGAAGAGGATAGCTGCAGTTTGCTGGTTCACAGCTTTCTCAAAGAAGCTCTGGAGCTTCATGTATTACGTGATTTGCAGGATGAGACAGAGTTCCAGCTGGGAAATGGTTAGATGCTTTTAACCCGTAATATTAGGTTTTTATGCTTCTCCTCCGCCAGAACTCTTAAATCAAGTGGTCCAGGAAAAGCCAAAGAGAACCACGAGTCAGAGTCTGGGAAAGGGAGAGCTCGAGTCAGGGACAATATCTTGACCCCACAACCGTTCTCTGCTGGAAGCCACATTCTCCATACCAAAGCCGATTCCTCCCAACGTTGTCATCAAGCAAGAGAATCCCGCCCGGCTAGCTCAATCGGTAGAGCGTGAGACTCTTACTACCCGGAGAAGGAAACTTCTGGAGGTAAAAAAGACATCTCAAGGTTGTGGGTTCGACCCCCACGTCGGGCTCAATTCCCGGCGAATGCCACCTCTCTTTCTTTTTCTTTGGTCCTTGAATCCTTCTAAAGTTCTCATTTTTGGTTATGCTGGAAACTGAAGGTCAATGCTCTTGCTGTTTATTCATCACCCTTTCTTGTCCCGCGGAGGACTGCCAGTAGCCTCCTTCAGCTGTATCTGTATCTCCAACGGCTTTGTATCTTGTCTATCATGTCCTTGTCCAGCCCCATCAGTCGTGCGTCTTAGGTATTTCTCACTCTCCTTATGGTCTGAGTTTTTGTCCGGTGGCACGGGAGTTAGAGGCGAGACGACGGGTTTCTCACCAGCCCTGTATTCCGATCCCGACTCGGACACTGTCAGCGGACTGAGCTTGATCTCACCACACTCTTGTTCCATCTCCTCCATGCAGAGCTCTCCAGCAGATAGCTCCGCCACAGCGGGCCAGTCTGTACCAATCTCCGCCGGGCCCACGTCACTTCCCAGCTCGGACGGTAGTTTATCCTCCCCTGATAGTTCTTGCGGTGTTGGTGTTGGGGATCGAAACTTCCCGACTCCTCCATCCTCGAGATCTGAGCCGTCTCTAGACTGTAACCTTCTCCTCTTCCACGGATGCCGCCACCCGCCGGGACTGAGATGGTCGTCATCTCGTCTGGAAGCACCGATTGCTTTTCCGCGGTGGTAGAAAAAGAAGGACATGCCGCCTAGTAAAGCCATGATTCCAATCGTGGCGCCGACGGCGATTCCTGCTTTGGTTCCCGTGCTGAGATCTGAAGAGGTTTGTGGTACTTCGGGCTGTGTCGAGTTATTGCTGCCGGTCGGCTGGCTAAGAGAGCCGGTCGGTGTTGCTGTTGCCCCTGTTGCCGCTGATAGTGTGCCAGTGGATAAAGTGAAAAAAGCGACCGAGGTGGTAAATGGAACTGACGCAATGACGGTTCTTTGCGCCGCGGATGCCTATATGCCGTGATCATGTTAGTACTCCGACATCATGTCTGAGTGACTTCTTATAATACTATGGCAACATTCACTTACCAGCCTAAAGACAGGAGAGTAGTTGGTGTTCCCTGACAAATCGTGGATCAGGAGGAAGTAGTCGCCCTCGGGCTTGTCGTCGGGCACCCGCCATTGGAGTTCCAGTTCTTGGGAATACGCTGGAGAAGGATTCTGGTCAGCGACTGGACTTCAAGTTTTGGGAACCATACTCCCATGAAACATGCACTGGTGCAGGCATGGAGACTAACATATTACCACGTCGTTGCCCTCTTTCACAGATGCCTCTGGCTGACCGCTCATCAGCGTTATCGTCGCCCATTTGACCTGATCCGTCCAGGTGAGGTGGAGAATTTCCCCAGGACGAGCATCCCAATTGGGGTTGGTGAAGTGAATCGCTCTACATAATGGCGCGAGGACCGCGATAACCACCAGCACGGCGACGTTGATGTTTCGGTGTTTTGATTTGACCATTTTCAGGACATGGGCTGGTGGTCAACCTGAATCCGAACTTCAAGTTGGCCATCACCCGCCAAGTCCATCAGAGATGGGGGGACGGTCGTGTCGTGTCCTTTATATCGTCCAACACTCCAGCCCGAGTCGTCCGGACGTTCCCTGAAATTGGCGAATCCTTCGGCATGGGTCGTTACCTGCCGCATCGAGTGCATGACAGGACCCGCGTTTCTCGTAAAGGGGTTTGGTTCAGGCACCAATCGTGATGGGATGACTCGGTTCGTCATTCCATTTCTGCAGGGGTCTGAGGTCTGCGCCACTGGTTTGGTGCTACCGTTGCTGGCGCGAATGAGACCAACAAGTCCCACGCGGCACGATTGAATCCTTCTCAGGGGCCAGCATCGATGGATGGTTCCATTCCCGAGAGCTGCCATTCATATCGCCGCCAAATGCCATGTACGGAGTAGTAGCGCCGACTGAAAGATCTCTGCCTCCAGTTAGATGTCACGAGTCCTCCGTACAAGGCCGCTGTTGTGGTCAGAAGCAGCAATCATCGTGGGTTGACGGCCCTAAGATGGGTTTGAAAATCTTGGCCATATTGCCAAGGGCAATCATCTAAATGGTTGTGTCTTGACGTTTGTACTTATAGCACTAAAACAAAATGATTTTACATATTCTCTCGCCTCTGATTGGCCGAGGAAGAATAAGCGGGTACATGGTCTAGTGGTATGATTTTCGCTTCGCATCATCTCAACTGAGATGCCGCGACCTTGTGAAAGGTCCCCGGTTCAATCCCGGGTGTATCCAATCCTTTTTGGTTCGTTTTGTAATTCTGTTTTGCATTAACTAAAACTACAGATCTGATTTCGGAATTTCTTTTGCAACTTTATCTTTCTAAGAAAGGCTTCAGATAAAATGGAACGGCTGTCTTTAAGAGACTAAGAAAGCTTGATCTAGCCGCTTTATGATGATCCTCTCTGCCTCGGTTCCCCGTCACCACCCCAGATGCTCCTTATCAGGGGTCAAAGAGACACTGACACCTTTCTTACTGCACATGACCAGCGAGTAGGATTCGAGCCAATCCGACGAGTCATTCGTCTCAATGGACTCAAAGCACTGAAGCATTCGGGCAATTACAAAGGATGCTTCACTCAAAGCGAACTGCTCTAATTTGGAGACAAGAGCAAGAGTCAGCATTCTGCTAGGGGAGGCGGGACATGCGAAACTTACGACCCAAACATATCCTTGGCCCGCCGTTAAAGGGTATAAATCCCCAACCCGGGCGTAGTCCATCCCACCTCTCGGGACGGAACTCGTGGGAGTCGTCGCCATAAATATCAGGTCGTCGGTGGATGGCGTGGAGGTTGTAAATAACGGGCGTTCCCTTCTTGACAAACAAGGGTGACTTGCCATCTGGACCGCCACCTAGAGGAATGGTGGTGTCACAGAGGGCTTCGCGAGTGTTGCCTGGTACGACGGGGTGGAAGCGGAGGGCTAGTACCATTAGTACCAGACAGTTAGTCGAAATCTAATAACCCTAACCTACTAGTAATGATAGGACTTACTCTCGTTGATACACCACCTCAAATATGTCATGTTGTTCAGCTCCTCTTCGGTGGGCAAAGGCCCCTTGATCCGGGACAGCACCTCGGTCCTCAGCTTAGCGTAGATGTGTGGCCTCCTGGAGAGCGCATAGAACAGGTTACTCAGCAGTGCAGCTGTGGTGTCTCGGCTAGCGAGCAAGACGCCGAGCACCTCACTTCGCAGTTCAGCACGGCTGTTTGTCTGGGCCGTCATCTCCTCGAGAAAGTTGTACTCGGCTGAATCGTCCCCTTCATCCTCAATCGCACTCTCGCCTTTTACCTTGCGCGCCTCTCGGCTGGCCAGCGCATGTTCGGCGAAGCCGTCGACATAGGCCCAGGCACGATCTCGGGCCTTGGAGGCTGTCCGACTATAACGGAAAATCTGCAGCTTGCCCAAGACGATCTTGAGTACGGCCTCATAGCAGCAGTTGAGGTAGTCTTGCACGAAATGCCGTTCGGCCTCGGAGTGACGGGTGGAATCTAATGTGTGCGTAGACTTTCCCATGAGGAACTCGGTGGCAGTGTCCATGGTGAAGCAAAAGAAGGGCTGCTGGAGGTCGAAGAACGACTTGTCGCGAGGGATATGGTTGAGCAAGAGTTGAAAATGCCGCTCCATCATTTTGTGCAAGGGCGCCATGTTGGACCGCGTGAAGCTCGGTCGGAGAAGGGCTCGGGAATGCGCCCAGGCAGGACCGTTGGTGGTGAAGATGGAACTGCCGAAGAGAGGAAACATGGCGTTGATCCGTAGCTCGGCCAGCCCAAAGTTCTTGAATTCAGTGGCCAGGATGTGCTTGATGTTCTCTGGCTCGGCTGTGTAGATGGTGTCTGGAAGGGCGAGGCGTTTGATCACATAGGTGGCATAATCGTAGCTGATCAGTCTGCCGCCCGAGAAACGAATATATCGTCCTTCCCTGGCGGCGCGTATGAACTGGAGGACGAGGTCGATGCCCAAGATAGGGTCCCAGAGGGGCGCTATGTTCATGGGCGGCTTGCATCCATGCTGTTTGATAAGCTTCTTGTCATTGAAGAAGTGAACGAGACGGCGAACAAGGAGCGAGAGGACGAGGACTGGAGAGAGATACAAGATCAGATCTGACCCCACACCGAAGCCCGCCATCCTGCGGTGTGAAAGGAATGATTGCTTGAGGTGTGTAGGAGGTGAAAGAATCAATCTTGTATCTTGGAAATATAACTGACTTCTTCCTGGAAACTTGCTGAAATCTGAGCTCAGAGCACCGGGACAATGTGAGTAACTTAACAGCTAGATGTGAGAATGCCTGGCGACACTGCACTTATTTCTTATAATATCTGGTTGAGACCCAATGTGTCCAACATGTGACGTGAGATGTGAGGACCAAGGTGATCACCCGAAGGCTCGCTGATCCATAAAATCAGGAATATTGACGGATCCGACAAACATCCGCCCCGAGGCGGTATGGGGCTGTGATTCCAGCAGAATACCTCCAACTAATCCTATTACATCACGAGCTGCCTGATGCACTGTGCTCGTCCTTTGCAAATCACCACGGTTGAACGAATAGGATGACCCGGCCTGACACCTGTGATGTTGTGGCACATGTGAGCGCCTTTATTGACACGACCACACCAAATACATTTTAACTTTTCCCATTCAGCTATTTCTCCGACGGTCAGTTCCGTTGGTGCCAATTTGTCTTTTAATCCGCATCCGTGTCTCGGGAGTTGTGGAAGGCCCCCAGAGACGAACAAGAGTGGATGTACATGTGCATTATGTACTTCACAACGCATTGAGTAGTGAGTATTCCAGCCTCATTAGCTCCTCAAAGGGGTATTATTTAGTTTTCTGTCGTCCTGTAACCGTCGTTTAACAGACGTGGAATTTGCTTTTTACGGCCTATTCTTCTGTCACTGCCACCATGTTCGCTTCGACTGCACCGTTGCAGACTAGTTACTCTGGTCTAAACCCTGTAGTAATTCCGTGCTATTCCAAGTATTCAGTGAATCAGTCTGCCTGTTCTGTGTTTACGCGGCCAATCTCGTACGGCCGACTTGATATGCCTGGTAGACTAGTTCTGCAGTCATAATGGCATTGCTGACGGATACCACCCACCCTACGTCCTGCCGACATGAGCCATGAAGATTTGCCCCAAGAGCTGGAATGGAGTAAATTACATCTGTACGAACGGGTAGCTCTCGGTTCCGGAGATAGCTGGTACTTTGGCAGCCCTCCTGCAAGAACCTCACAGGCATTGCCCAGCGAGGGTTGCAGCTTTTGCAGTGCCAGCTACACTGAAGGAAGAATATACTGAAGATGCAAATTTCCACGTCCAGAATTAGATGGCTTCAGATTCCAAACACACCGAATACAAACCGGGCAGCCATTAGTAGTCTTCCTATGTTATTAGGTGTGATTGAGATATATTTCACGCCCACCGTGCTGACATGCAGCCAACGTACCGTACCAGTACGCTCTTGAACGCCTTGGTATTCGTCGAATCCCTCAGCTCCCTGTGGTCTTAGACATCCAGCTCAAAGACTATCGAAATCGGGGGTAACACCGCATATGTACCTAATACGCGTAAATATTACGAGAGCCATTCTTAGTAATACGTGACGTATCGTTTGATATCATGCATCTATTCAAGCTTTCTATCCAGTTAGCTATCTGTCCTCCTCTCCGTCGTTTGATAGACGCCTTAATCCTGCATATTTTCCCTTTTCCCATCAAGCCTCAGATCAAAGTGTGATGATAGTGGTCAGCATGTCCGGTCAGGCTAGTGACGAGGTGTTCGGGACCGGCAGCGGCCGACGACATGCAGTGAGACACAGTGTATCCCGATATGAATATCGTAAAGAAGGTGTTGCTGTATCTTCGTTGCAGCCCAGGACTTGGGGGATGCCACTGCGTTGCTCTGGTTGTAAGCCTAACAACATGCAATCACACGCCGCCGGGATACATAATCTTTCAATATTGCAAGACCTATGCCATGGACTTTGGTTCAAACTCACGAACCAACAAATACTAATGCTGACGCTGCTAGAACGATAAAGGTCTTGGACGAGATAGAAAAAGTATCCACCGAGTCCTAGCGTGATCGGTTGGTTCTATTTACCATCATATTCTCCGGGTTTCGGCTGCCCGCCCCTTTGACCCAAGGCGTAGAAAAGAAGTCCTAGACTTCTTTGGCCAGCAACATTGAGTTTCATTCACATTGTTCAGCACGCAGTCTCGAATTCTCGCATTGATATTAGTCCAGAGACCCGACTTCCCTACTAACTATTATGGCAGACGGAAAACAGATTCAGCCTCCCCTAGCCCTATCGCAGGTTGAGGGGGAGAAGCTTGGCAATCTGGATCAAACTCTCTGGGACCTCTTCTCGGCAACGGCTTCGGAGCACCCAGACCATGATGCCATCGTCTCCATGTGGCAGACGGAGGACGACTGCGATGAAGAAGAGGCAGACAAGCTCACGGAGAGCATCCCGCCAGGAGGCCTGGGAGCCATTCATCTTCCCAATATTTCCAATACTTCTCTCACTCCTGAATACGTTCGATGGAGTTACAGGGAACTCCATCACAGATCAATCCTCCTATCATCTTGGCTCTTGGATCAAGGATGTCAACCCCAGGATCGAGTTGCCGCCTTTCTCTGGAACTCGGTCGAATGGGGACTCTTCTTCTGGGCATCTGCCAAGCTGGGGCTTGTTTACATGCCTCTCGACCCTCGTCTTCTTGCCAGCGAAGGCGAATTTTTGGTCAACTCGACAAGCCCTCGTGTGGTGGTAGCTCAGAACGCCAACGAGGCAACAGCACTCGACAAGCTCTGTGAAGGACAGGCCAACATGATCCGAATCCAATGCACAGGAGCTGAGCTACCGGGCTGGACCTCACTTCGCAACATCTTGTCACCACGCACCCCATCCACCTCGTCGTCAGATGCGTCAGACCAAGCCATCACAAACGATGATGTAAACACCGACTCCAACTCTTTGACACTCATAATATTTACCTCGGGAACAACGTCTCGTCCCAAAGGCTGTCTGCACACCCACCGGAACCTTGTCGCCCAAATTCACACCTACGACCCTAATCCAGACCCGTCCCATGTCGACCGATGGCTGGTCCACACGCCGTCATGCCACATCTTTGCCGTCAACAACGCACTCCGGGCTTTTAAGCTCGGACATGCCGTCATCTTTCCCTCCAAAGCCTTTGACATTTCTTCGACGCTCTCTGCGCTGGTG